CATATAAATAGCAACCATAAGAGAGCTAGAGTGGCTATACTAGTATCAGGAAGAATAATAGACTTTAAACAGAAAATGTTACTAGATATGAAGAGGGACATTTCATATTGATAAAGTCCATTAGGAAGATATAAAAATTATACCCATATATGGACCTAACAACAGAACCCCCAAACTGCATGAAGCAAAAGCAGACAGAATTGAAGGGAGAAACAGATAATTTAGCAATAATAGTTGGAAACTTTAATATCCCACTTTCACCATAATTCGAAAAGAGACATGTACCACAATGTTCATTGCAGCACTGTTTACAATAGCCAGGACATGGAAGCAACCTAAGTGTCCATCGACAGATGAATGGGTAAAGAAGATGCGGCACATATATACAATGGAATATTACTCAGCCATAAAAAGAAATGAAATTGAGCTATTTGTAGTGAGGTGGATGGACCTAGAGTCTGTCATACAGAGTGAAGTAAGTCAGAAAGAGAAAGACAAATATCATATGCTAACACATATGTATGGAATCTAAAAAAAAAAGGTTCTGATGAACTGAGGGGTAGGACAGGAATAAAGATGCAGATGTAGAGAATGGACTTGAGGACACGGGGAAAGGGGAAGGGGAAGCTGGGACGAAGTGAGAGTAGCATTGACATATATACACTACCAAATGTAAAATAGATAGCTAGTGGGAGGCAGCCGCATAGCACAGGGAGATCAGCTCGGTGCTTTGTGACCACCTTAGAGGGGTGGGATAGAGAGGGTGGGAGGGAGACACAAGAGGGAGGAGATACGGGGATATATGTATACGTATAGCTGATTCAGTTTGTTATACAGCAGAAACTAACACACCATTGTAAAGCAATTATACTCCAATAAAGATGTAAAAAGATATATCTCACTTTCAGTAATGGGTAGAAGATCAAAAAGGAAGTAAAACAGTTGAAGAATGCTATAAACCAACTGGACCTGACAGATATGTGCAGAACACTTCACCCCCAAACAGCATAATACATATTCTTCTCAAGTGCATATGGAATATTCTCCAGGATAGACCATATGTTAGACCATAAAACAAGCCTCAACAAATTTAAAAGGATTGACATCATACAAAGGATGTTCTCCAACCACAGTGGAATTAAATTAAAAATCAACAACAGAAGGAAATTTGGGAAATTCACAAATATGTAGAAATTAAATAACACTCCAAAATAACAAATGAGTAAAAGAAGAAGTCACAAGGGAAATTAGAAAACATCTTAAGATGAAAATGAAAATAAAATATACAAAAAATTATGGATTGAAGCTAATAAGGTATTCAGAGGGAAAATTATATTTGTAAATGCTTATATTAAAATTGAAGAAATATCTCAAATTGGTAACAAACTTCCGCCTTAAGAAACTACAAAAATGAGAGCAAGCTAAACCCAAATCAAGGAGAAAGAAGGAAATAAAGATCAGAATGGAAATGAAATAGAGAATAGAAAAACAATAGGGAAAATCAGTGAAACCAAAAGTTGGCTCTTTGAAAGGAACAGCAAACATTAAAACAATTAATAAAATAATTCTATTTATAGTAGATTCAAAAATAGAATCTTTGGGAACAAATTTAACAGAAATTAAAGCTAGACTTGTACACTGAAAACTACAAAATACTGTTAAACGAGATTAAAGAAGACCTAAACCAATGGAAAGACATTTCATGTTTGTGTATCAGCAGATTTAATGTTGTTAAGATGGCAGTACTCCCGAAATTGAGTACTCAATGCAATCCCTATCAAAATATCAGCTGACTTCTCTGCAGACAGCCAATGGAGGAATATGACTGAAAGAAAAAGGAAAATAAGAAGAAACTATGTAGTTGGAAAATAATTCCTGCTATGTAAACTCTAAATTAATCTCTACTGAATCAATGAATACAGGTCTGGAATAAGATTTGATTCCTAGAGGGAAGAACCAGGAGTATTTACAGAACCAGTAAGTAAAATCCACTCACTGTCTCTCATTAACATAATAGTTCCTTTTTTGATTGCCTTTTATTTGCAAAATTTTGTTCCCTCATCTCCATGTAGCAAGTTAGTTAAACTACCTTCTGTTAAGGAGTTTATACTTTAGTGGGAAACCTGCAATACACACACACACACACACACACACACACACACACACACACAGTAGAAAGTAATATATATTATACAGAGAGTGCTAAAGTGCTATAGGAATTCAGAAGTGGCATTTGAACTGGACTTAAGACCTGCAGTGTTGAGGAGGAGAAGTGTATTCCTTTCAAAAGAAGCAGCCCGAGAATTTATGGGGCATTCTGTTTGGCTGGTATTTTTGAAGGGAAGTAGTGAGAAATAAAGCTAGGGCCAATTATATCCCAGCTCTGCCTCTCACTAGCTACATGACCTTCGGAAAGTTATTTAATCTCTCTAGGCCTGAGCATCCTCTTTTTAAAATGAAGATAAAAATACCTCCTCCCTCAGGGTTATTGGGAGAATTGGGTGAGACCATACACGTTAAGAGCTGTCTGGCACAGAGTAAGTGCTCAGTAAATGGTTCCTGTGTTTTGGAAGGGAAAAGCTTGAATACCAAGCTAAGACATCTGAGCTTTTCTGTTGTGGGGAACAATAACTAAAGATTGCAAATAGGGAGGTGACATAATCAGAGCAATGCCTTAGGAAGATTAACTTGGCAGTGGGTGATCTGGAGGTGGGACAAGGGGAGACTGGAGGAGGCCATTGCAAGAGTCCAAGAGAGGTAATGAGAACTTGAACTTGGGTATTGATAGTGGTAGAACTATATAAAATTACTGAGAGTTTGTTGGTGTCATAACACAAATAGGAAACATGGGAGAGGGAGCAGGTTTGAAGGTGAAGGTGAAAGGTCAGTTTTATACATACTGAGTGAGATATCAGTGAGACCTCCAGAAAGAAATGTGTAACAGGCAGTTTGAAATTCAGTACTGGAGATCAAGGCTGGGAAAATGACTTGGAAGTTATCTTCCAGAAGTTAGAGCCAAAAGATTGTATGAGATTACCAAAGAAAAGAAATGTAGGGGGACGTCCCTGGTGGTCCAGCGGTTAAGACTCCGCGCTCCCAATGCAGGGGGCCCGGGTTCAATCCCTGGTCAGGGAACTAGATCCCACATGCATGCCACAACTAAGAGTTCGCATGCCACAACGAAGACCCAGCACAGCCAAATGAATGAATGATTAAATAATTAAATGGTTAAATAATTAAATAAATAAAAAGAAAAATGCAGGGATAGAAGAGAGGATAATTAAAGACAGAATCCTTAGAGATGGGAAAATGAAGAGAAGGCAGATAATTTGACTTTAATTGCCTTTCATAAAACTTTGTTGTTGCTATCTAGTATCATGTACCCTTCCTTTATACCTGCAGACTGCTTGTTTTACTATCATCCTCATTACCACCGCTAAATGGACCGCCTAGAGTGGCCCTACGCATGTTTAAAGATGGATACATTCGTTCTTACATAGCCCCTAAGTCCTTTTGCTTTCCCCCTAAGGCCGACACAACAAGATCTATTAAGATGACAGACCAGTTTTATTTCTGGGTGAACACCAGTTTTGAAGAACATTCAGGGCATTCTAAGAAGCTAAGGTTTGAGGTGTCTTAACAGATATTCTCAGAAATTACAGAGAAATACAAGCAGCCTTGAGATATGGTGGCCAGTAATGTGCCTGGCTCTTTTCTCATTGGAAAAAAATTTTTTTAATTAATTAATTTATTTATTTTTGGCTGTGTTGGGTCTTTGTTGCTGCGTGCGGGCTTTCTCTAGTCGTGGCGAGCAGGGGCTACTCTTATTGTGGTGCGTGGGCTTCTCATTGTGGTGGCTTCTCTTGTTGTGGAGCACGGGCTCTAGGCGAGCGGGCTTCAGTAGTTGTTGCTCGTGGGCTCAGTAGTTGTGGCTCGTGGGCTGTAGAGCGCAGGCTCAGTAGCTGTGGCGCACGGGCTTAGTTGCTCCGCGGCACGTGGGATCTTCCCGGACCAGGGCTTGAACCCGTGTCCCCTGCATTGGCGGGCGGATTCTCAACCACTGCGCCACCTGGGAAGCCCTCTCACTGAGAATTTGAAAGTTAATTTTCACCTTGAAATTTCTTGGTTTTCTGGAGAGAGAGCACAAGAGTTATAAGGATAAAAATGGGGGTCCCATGGTGCTGCATGATATAAACTTGCATATGGATTTCGTTGGCATCAGTTTTCTTGTTAGTTCCTTCAACCGTTAGTATAATATAGCAGCTACAAATAGAAGGTGATTTGAGGTCACTGTCCTGGGCTTTCCTGAAGAACTGAGGGAGTGCCTGTTTGCCCTGACAAAGGGGAATTCTTTTGCCCTAAGTGGGGAATGACTTGAATTGGCCGATTCAGTTTCTTTGTTTCTGACTAGGGCCCTGTGTTTTAATTAACTTTTACAAGTGGATAATGGGCAATAGCCACAATCCAGTTGGCTGGCAAAGGCATTGTGTATTGTTCCATAGCAGTATAAAAAATGTGCATAAGTCATTGATACTGGAAGGTCTTTGTGACACTAACGATCTGGCTCGGTCTCCTCTGCTTACTCCACTAGGCTTTTTATGACCTTTTTTCCCATTCTCGTGTTAGGGGATTTTGAATGTGTATTTTTTTTTTTTTTGTTTTTCTTCCTTTACTTGCCGTTCGGAAGCTTCTAAGTCAGGCTAGCTTCAATCCTATTTTCAGAAATCTTACCAAGGTCAGCCTGGTCCTGTTATATCCAGATGCTGACTCTTCGTACCTTTCAATTTACTCTGTCTCTTAAGACACATTGCTGTCTCAGCAAATTGCATAAGTGAAGGGTTTGGGGTTTGGAGGTAAAGACATATTCCTAATCTGAAATGATCTGTGAATAACAGCTAGAGTCAGTTTTAATATGGGAAATTTGAAGAGGGGCTCCATAGGATAAGAATATACTTAGCTTGTATTGTGACAGCTTAAAATTTAATTTTCTCTTCTTGCAGTAAGTACAAATGGATCCTAGGTGAGGAACCTGTGGAGAAACGAAGAAGGCTCCAGAATGAGATGACAACACCTCCTCTAGATTATTCCATGCCTGGCCCTTACAGGAGGGTAGAGGCAGCAGTTGCCTACCCAGAAGGGGAGAACAGCCATGATAAATCGAGTTCTGAGAGAAGCACACCACCATACCTTTCCCCAGAATACCCCGAAGCAATGAAGAATACCAGTCAGAGTAGGGAGGTCTCAGTTCTGTATGCAGGGGCCCAAGACCAGCACCAGGGCTCCCTGCTCCCTGAAGAATTAGAAGATCAGATGCCAAGATTGGTGGCAGAAGAATCTAACAGAGGCAGCACACACCTAAACAAGGAGGAAGTAAGCAAGGGACCTTTTGTAGCTGTTGTCGGTGTTGCAAAAGGTGTTAGAGATTCAGGAGCTCCCATTCAGCTGATCCCTTTTAACAGAGAGGAGCTTGCTGAGAGGAGGAAAGCAGTTGAATCCTGGAACCCGGTGCCTTACTCTTCTGTGGCCTCTGCTGCAACTCCTGCTGCAGCTGTTGTGGAGAAAGGAAGAGGCTCTGAGGAGAGCGGAGGTCGTCATACACCAAAGATGAAGAACCAAAGAGAGCTAGAGGAACTGAAGAGAACCACAGAAAAGTTGGAACGTGTTTTGGCAGAAAGGAATATGTTCCAGCAAAAGGTTAGAGTAACACCTTACCACTAGGAATGAGAGGCCATTGTAACCAAGGAACCAGAGAGATGGAACTCCAATGATCTCATGTTCTGTGGCCTTTAAACAGAATAAGCCATTGAATGATCCTGTGGTATATCTCAGATTGAGTGAACCCTAATGGGCTTCCCTCCTATATTTGGGGTTTGAAAAGGTCCATAGTAGAATATGTTTAGAGAAATCACAGGGTGAATATATTCAGGAAAATTTGGGGCACTCTCTTTAGCTTTCACTAGTATGTGGGGTCATTGAATTTCTGTTTCTTGGACTGCAGGTGGAGGAGCTGGAACAGGAGAGGAATCACTGGCATTCTGAATTCAAGAAAGTCCAACATGAATTGGTGACCTATAGTACCCAGGAGACAGAAGGCTTGTACTGGAGCAAGAAACACATGGGCTATCGCCAAGCTGAGTTCCAGATTCTGAAAGCTGAGCTGGAAAGAACCAAAGAGGAAAAGCAGGAACTAAAAGAGAAACTGAAGGAGACAGAGACACACCTGGAAGTTCTGCAGAAGGCTCAGGTCTCCTACCGGACCCCAGAGGGAGATGACCTAGAAAGGTTAATTACTAGGGTTTAGTAATCAGCTTGTGAGTGCTAATGGGAAGCCTCCCTTAGGACCCCTCCCCCCACCCCGCCCCATTACTGGTCATAGATAAGGGAAGAAGCCTTAATTAATTCCTAGGCCACCAAGGATTGAGCAATCGCTTCTTAGAGAGCTGCAGCCAACCTCCCAGTGCTTGGTGGCATTGTGCTTTCTTCTTTCTTTCTAGCTAATGGAAACGTAATTGTTGAGAAATGTAGGCCTGTTTTGAAGGAGCTTCATTTTGTTCTGTTGGCTAACGACTTCATGTCATCTCTTCTCCTGTCCCTCACTCCATCATACAGGGCTTTGGCAAAGCTTACGCGGCTGCGTATCCACGTCAGCTATCTCCTTACCTCTGTCCTCCCTCACTTGGAGCTTCGTGAGATCGGGTTTGACTCAGAACAAGTGGATGGGATCCTGTATACGGTGCTGGAGGCAAATCACATACTGGATTGAGCACCAGATACTCTATATCCCCTTTTCTACCCTATTCTTTCCTCCCTCCCTCTCAACACCTCTCTCTCTCTCTCTCTCTCTCTCTCTCTCTCTCTCTCTCTCTCTCTCACTCTCTCTCTCTCTCACCCTTATGCCTTACGTGGAGAATCTTTGAGTAAATCCTGGCTCTTAATCAGTCTGCTTCTTATTCAGTCTTGGTGTGGAGAAAGAGGCTAGTTAAATAGGCTTTCAAGAGTTCCAGGAATGGAAAAGCAGTAGTCACCAAACCAGGTGACCGGAAAGCTTTAACTTTCATGACTCAGATACTTGGCCAATTTCATATCCTTTCTGAAATGATTTGTATTCATTTAGGTTAAATCAGTCAGCAGATATTGGGTCCAATGTACCAGGTGTTTGGGTTCAAGTGAAGAAGTATAACTCATGGTTTCAGCCTTCAAGGATCTAACAATCTAGCTGGAAACACAAGACATACACCAGGTTAACTGACTTGTACAGTGAGTGGTACAAACATGAAAGAGAAGTTCTGGGGGAGGAAGGTCAAGGAAGGCATCACATCAGAAGTGGGAGCTAAACTAAGGTTTGTTTAAAGAATGGGCATAACAGCACAGTTAACAACGGTTGTTCTTTACATGGTAGGACTATGGTTGATATTTTTTTTCTTCTTCCTATCTTCCTGCCTTTCCAAATTTTCTATAATAAACCTGTTATTCTTCTTACATTGGAAAAATAAATCGTTTTTTTAAAAAAATGAGTAGGCTTGGATTTAGATATCAAATGAAAGACTGTGTGAAAATATAAGGTAATTTTTATATTTATAATTTATGTTGTATTTAGCATTACCTCTGGAAGAATAACATGAAAGAAAGCATGGAAAAAGCTGGAATGTAAAAAATGTGTCTGGTAGGAGTGATGGGTTAATGTAAAGGGAACTAAGGTTAAATCATGACCCACCTACCCACCTGCCTCTGTGGTATTTGCATTTTAATGAGGAATTCTTGAAAAAGAAATCTTCAAGGCTCAACATTTTTAAATGTGTATCAGCACAACTATGGGATTTAAGGTAGTGGTGGGGGAGGTATTTTAGAGCAGCGAGATCTATTTGATATCCCTCAGAATGCACCTCCTACCTACTCTTCAGGCTAGTGCTGATGAGGGGTAGATCTTACATTATCAGAAATAGTAAAACTTACACTCTTTTAAAAGTAGACATTTTATTTATTCATTTCTTTATAGTATTTATATAGTGCATACTCTCCGGAGAGTTCAAGGTACTCTTCAAAAGGCTTTGACCAATGAACACATAAAAATATACCAGCAGTGAAAAATAGGAAGTAATGGAGAAAAGGGAGGAGGTGGGATCAAGCAGTCGCAAAAGGATTAGCTAGTCCGGAGGGATGTTTTGGGTGGTCGTTTTATTTCTCCTCTGCAGAGTTACTTCAGAAGACTCTCCCAAACTTACTTGAACTTTTTAAAAAGGAGGCCCATCGTAGATATTCCAGTGGGACTGCAAGGGAGTAACGGGGAGGCTAGAGCCACGCTTCACCAGTAGAATGAGTGCTGAGAGATAGCCCCGCCCCCTTCCCTCACCTCTCTGCTGGCTCTTGCCTGCCATGTGATGAACTCTCACGTCAGACAGACCATGATATGGAAGGCCCTGGTTGTCTAAATGTAAGTTTACTGAGAGAAGGCGGGTAGCACATTCAGCCATTCTCTCTGGGATACTTGTTCTCCAGATGAGAGCTATGAAACGGTGGGACTTTGCACAGATAGGGACAACGTGGAGGGGAGGGTGGTTCCGGGGGAAATTCAGAGCATTGGAGATTCAGCCTGAGAGAGATGATGTGGGCGGGGCGGGTGCTGGGTCAGCAGTGGAGCAGAGTAGGAAGGAGGTCAGGCAGTTGGGCTTCAAAATGAGCAAAGGGGAAACAGTTTAACTCAACTCTACTTGTGCTTACTCTCAGCCCATTTCCTAGTCTGTGGCCTCAACCCCAAAGTGCTCCTTCCAGCGAGAGTTAGCTGTGCGAGTTCATTCCCTGCAGTACCAGAGCTACCTCTCTGTTACCTGTTTACAGTGAAACCTTACCAGCGTGAGGTCCCTTTAAGCAAAGTTAAATGCAGCAGTGGAGCAATTGAAAAGTGTCACCCAGCCTTAGCAGAAGTTATGACGTAGCGTGGAGGCAAAAGAAAAAAAAAGTTGGGTGCCTCGTTCTGGCTATCCTGTTAGGTTAACATAATCATAATTCTCCTTCAGTTTTTCATTTCCACAGTCAACACTTAGGTCCTTACTACCTCATGCCTTCCTAATTGAAAGATTCCTAGCTGGCCTCCCTTGTCTCCAATTCTCGTTCATTTAGTCTACTCTACTCTCTGTCACTAAATTGCTTTTAATGACCTCATCAAGTTAGGCCTCTGCTCAACGACTTGCCAGCGCTTTCAGTTGTCCGCCGAGTACAGTACAAATTCCCATCTGGCTTCAACCCTGCTCTCTAGACTCTTCCAACATTCCAAATGCCAACCGTGTTCCATCCAAACTGAACTAGTTTTCAGTTTCTGAACCTGCCTTGAGATTTTCTCCTTTTCCATCTTTGCCGTGTTCCATCCCCTTTGCCTGGAATATTTTCCTTCATTATCCTTCCTTTGGCTCTAAAATCACTTTTTTCCTGAAAATTCCTCCGATTAACCTAGCCAGGTACGACATTTTCTTTGAACATGCAAGTTTTGTGTCACTTAGGCTCTTATCACAAGTGTCCTTATCCTGTGCTCCCCATTAGAAAGCTCCACATTCAAATAAATTCAACTGCCTACTTGACATTTACACTTCTATGTCTCACAGACATTTCAAATAAAACATGTTAAAAAACAGTGACACACACACCCTGGAACTGTTCCTTCCCCCAATTTTACTCATTTTATAAAATGGCACCTCCACCCACCCAGTTGCTTAAGCTAGAAACCTGGAAGTCATCCTTAATTTTCCTCTTCTAGTCCCACACATCCAGTCTGTCAGAAAGTCGGTCAATTCTGTCTTCAAAGTGTATCTTGACTCCACTCATTTTTATCACATCTACCTTAGTCCAAACTACCATCATCTCCCATAGATAATTGCAACTCCTAACTGGTTCCTTGTCTCCGCTCTTGTTCCCACGATTGTCTTATCACTACAGCCAGAGTGATTTTTTTTTAAGAAGTACACATCAGAACATGTGACTCCCCGCTTAACGCCCTTCCACTACTTCTCATTGCACTTAGAATAAGATCCACACTCCTTACTATGTCCTACAAGAGCCCTGCCTGTTTCTTCTACTGAGTCTCCTGCAACTCTTCTTCATATCTCGCTTTTCCCCTTGCTCACTGTGCTTTTCCCACAGAAATAGTTCAGGCTCTTACTTAAATAGAGACTTTCCCCATACTGTTTCCTCTCTTGGAATGCTGTGTGTCCAGTCTTGGCATGGTGGACTCTTCCTCATCCTTCAGGCCTTAGTGTTACCAACTTTTCTCAGACAGGCCTTCCCCAGCAGCCATTTTTCTCTATCTACCCAATTCTATCACTTTTTCCTGTTTTGTTGAATCCATAGCACTTCTCACAATTTGCAGTCACATATTTGGCCGTTTAATTTCATGTATTCAACAGATATTTATTGGGTACCTACTGTGTGCTGTGTGATATACAGTGGAGAACACAACACGCGGTTTCTGTCTTCCCTCACTTCCATGAGGGGAAGGGCCACGCCTGTTTTTTCCAATCACTGTACCCCAGAGCTTATCATGGTACCTGGTATATAGTAGATGATCAATGGTTGTTACTGAACAAGTTAATGATGGAAACTGTGTTTTGTTCATATCTGCATCTCCCTCAAGAGCCTGAAACAGTGCCTCGTTTGTAGAAGGGGTTGGATAAATACAGTATGAGTGAGGTAGATAACAATCCTCGGCATTAAATTCTGAAAATGAAAGCCTGAGACAATAAGTGCTACAGGTTATGGGAGGCCTAATGTTTCTCTTTAGCTGATCTTTGATTTGGATAATTAGAAAGGCTATCAAGGAGAAAGGGAGTATGGGTGACAAATATTTGAATATTGTCACAAGGAGGCTTCCTAGATTTCAATTTTAAAATACTGAAAATTACAGAATGTAATCAGAAGAAGTTTATAGAGACCAGATCTTGAGAATGAGAACTCAAAGGGAAAAAAATTCTGAGGAATCTTCTGCTCATTTTCCCAAGAGCAGTGATAGTTTATTTCAAGGGAAGAAAGAGGAGCTATCCTCTTTCAAAGGACAGACAGAACACACCTCAAGGAAATACAGTCATACCTCGTTACCTCGTTTTATTGCGCTTTGCAGATGTTGCGATTTTTTTTTTCTTACAAATTGAAGGTTTGTGGCAACCCTGTGTGGAGCAAGTCTATCAGTGTCATTTTTCCAACAGCATTTGCTCACATCATGTCTCTGTGTCACATTTTGGTAGTTCTCATGACATTTCAAACTTTTTCACTGTTATTTTATTTGTTACGGTGATCTGTGATCAACAATCTTTGCTGTTCCTCACTGAAGGCTAAGATGATGGTTAGCATTTCTTATTAATAAAGTTTTTTAATTAAGTATTTTTAATTAAGGTATGTACATTGTTTTGTTAGACCTAATGCTATTTCACACTTAATAGACTACAGTATAGTGGAAACATAAGTTTATATGCCCTGGGAAACCAAAAAATTCCTGTGACTCTCTTTATTGAGATATTTACTTTATTGCAGTGATCTGGAATTGAACCTGAAATATCTATGAGGTATACCTGTAAGTTCCCCACACAAGTTAGCAAATCAGTACAAGTACAGTCAACCCACCAAATCTGTGAGTTCTGCATCCACGAATTCAACAAACCATAGATTAAAAATAGATTTTTTTAAAAATCCAGAAATTTCCAACAAGCAAAACTTCAATTTGCCTCATTCAGGCAACTGTTTACATAGCATTTACATTGTATTTACAACTATTTACATGGCATTTACATTGAATTAGGTATTATAAACTGGAGATGATTTAAAGTATACGGGAGGATGTGTATAGATTTTATGCAAATTGAACACCATTTTATCTAAGGGACTTGAGCATCCTTGGATTTTGGTGTCCGATGGGGATCCTGGAACCCATCCACCACAGATACAAAGGGACAACTGTATGTACATGCTTGTTGGATGAACACATGGGCACCTACCAGAGGACTAGATCAGAGACTTTGAGGCCCCAGGGGACGGGAAGATTTGCTTGCCCAAGTCCAGTGACTGCAAATAATCTGGGGTAACAATTTAGAGAGAGGGGCTTAATTGGCAGGCTCTCAGTTCCCAAGAGTAATCTCCAGATAGAACATGTTTCAGAGTTCTGTACTATGCATTAAAACCTCTTTCTGTAGTATTGTGTTAGGAGTAAAGCACTGGGGTATGCCCAGGAAAGCTAGGGGTGAGCTCAAGCTAAGTCAAGTGTAATTTCCCCAAAAGAATAACTTGTGCTTGGTGACAAGGACATCCCTAACTCACAAATTACCTTAGGCAGAGAGGAAATTCAGGAACCATACTTTCTGATTCCAAAGTCAGGGCACATGGTTGGATAATAAACTACACAACTGGAAAGAATTGACTTAGATACTCTTGGGTATGTTAAAGCTTTAGTCATTAAGTGAGACATAAAGAGCATTCATTTTCTAATGGAAAATAAAATCTGCAAGAGTAATGTGTTTTGTTAATTGCCTCTATACCT